AATGATTTCATTATAATATTATTTCGTATTCCATTGGGGATGCACCAGTTCATATTTTGAAGAAAACTATCGTTTTGCGGGTGCAAAACTGGTGCAATACCAGTGCACCACTAGGTTTACGAATGGAATTTGCTAATAATTTAGAGCTCAGTGCAACAATTCTCGCACGAGCTAATAGATCGTGCGAAGTCAGTTCGATTTTGAAAATGGTGAAAAAATTGAATATTTATAGTTTGAAAACCAAATTGTTAGTGGCATCTTAATTATCATCATCAAATAGTGATCAATAGTTGAAAGCTTCAAAAAAATTGAGGAGATTACTTCCCAGAATTCATAATTTTGTTGAAAGTATTATGCAAATTCAATCATGAAGAGATACTTATCAAAAAGAAGTTATCAACATTATTTCCATAAAACATCTTCTTTGTTTTCAATAATTGAAGTTGAAAAAGAATTTCAGGATGTGGACAAGTTATAAACAACGACAAACCAACTTTACCTCCAACAATAATTTTATTAAAATACTATTTCGTTTTCCATTGGGAATTCACCAATTCACATTTTGAAGAGAACCAACGTAGTGTGGGTGCAAAACTGGTGCAAAACCAGTGCACCACCAGGTTTACGAATGAAATTTGCAATTTGTTTCACTATTTTCTCAAAAATCACAAAATGCTCACTAGATCTCAATGCTCACAGTTCTACCCCACACATTCTCAAATGCTCACCGATGTGAGCAAATGATCACACATCGGAAACGCTGTTCATAATGATTCATATCGAGTGGAAGAGTCGACCAATGTTGCAGACCCTCCCCACTGCGGACGCTATGGGCACATTTGCTGGAGAAATTAATTTCGAGAAGAAATAAAGAAAAGGAAAATGATATGCTCCTCAGATCATTATTGCTATGGAATAATATACTCAGGTCCGAATGCTGAGTGATGAAAATAAGGTTCTCCTCGTCCATCCATTCCACTTATTCTCGCGCATAGATCACCTTCAATTATATCTCCCGATTCTTAGGTTACGTTTTTACTGTATAATTGTCTATAGAACACGCCAGTTATGAACCTCGTAGTTACCTTGACGATCATTCAACTCTCCTAATATCAGGTAAGGCATGTTGCTATTGATGTGAAAAAATCGGATAGGTAGTACCTTTCCACTTCTCGGACGATTGACGCAAAATCATTTTCCATTTCTATCTTTTCCTATGTGAATCTTGCCAGGAATTCACAGAAAACTCTTATAATATCTTATGTATGTTTTGTTTCATTTTGTTAGGTTGTTGTACCCATGAACAGATTAACCTTGGGACTTGACGAATACTACAATGAAATTAGATCTTCTGGTGTAGATTTCGGCGTCCTCTATTCTACATTCACCGCAAGTTAATATGGTATAATTGATTCTGTTACAGCTGTGTCATTGTGATTTAATTTCGTTATTCTCGATTAACCAGTGAATTCGTTGACTCATCTTATATAAATATTATGAATTACTCATGGAACACAGCATTTCATCAAGGATTTCTAGGAATAATTTGATTGTTTTCTGCAGATACGAACGAAGGACCACTCTTCGATTCTTAAGGTTTATCGAATGCAATTCATCTGTCAGATAATGCCTAAGAGTCAGTTAGTTCAGGAAGGTTAATTTATAAACTTGTGGATGAGTCAGATAACTGCAGGATAATCTATAACAAACCACAAGATTCATGTTTTGTTTCTCAATATCGGGAGTTATTTTTGGATGATTTTTTTAAACTCAATGAAATTATTGGCAATCTTCTGGAACCGATTAGGGTATGGAAAATATTTTGATAATATCGACTACGCAGAGATGACTACGTAATGTTCTTTGGATTTCTAAGCCTATCAAGCATCGAAATGTCATTGCATTTTGGCCACAGCCAACTCCATGTATTTCAATGAAATGCAATTTAACAGCCGATTAATGAACGAATATCAAATTGCGAAACATAGTTGAATAGAGAATTTTTTAGGCAGATGAAATAAATAGGCTACAGAAATATACAGGGTGATATTGAAAAAAAAAGTTGGGTCTACTTCCAATCGAACAGGTGGTTGAAGAAAATCGTCATTGGGTTTAAGGGAAGCGCCATGACCGATAATATAACCCTTGTGAATTTCAAATTTTTATCTCTCCAAATAAAAACAAACTACAGGCTGTTACATGTCTTCTGTGTCACCCAGTATAAGAGTTTCCAAAGAGAGACGATTATAAAAAATAGTTTCATTTTTGTTTGTTCAAAAATTTCGTTTCTCGACAAGTCAATACTACCTCAATATGAGTACAATGAAGGATTATCACTTTTGCGTTCGACTTTCAGAATTGGTGATGAAGGTATTCCTGATCCGTGATTTCAGTTTTGTTAGCAATTTTGGAAAAGAAAAGTGCCCCAAGTTAATCGGGAGGGCGCTTTTCGGCAGTCTCCATACTTACGGAATGAAAATCTAGTAATCAAACAACCTAGCCGATAAACGATAATTTTCGCTATCTATACTCATATAGAAGAAATTATAATGTGAAGGATCACATAACTGCCGTATCCTCGCATTTCATCGCTGACCTGATTTCGATAACAATGGTGGAATTAAAAACACACCAGGATATATCAGAACTATATACATTTATAATTTAATGAGAGAGTACCTACCCTAGTTATAATTATTACATCTACAACTCTTATAAAATAAATCAATATTTTATTATTTATCATTATACGAATTCACTGTTCTCTCATTGGAATGTGGCATTTACTGAGGAATTATATATTCATTTCGTTCTCCATTCCCATTGAAGCACCTTCAACTTTGAAATTGGAGAATGATGCCAAATAAGACGAAGTGTTTGAGAGAAAGTGCAATGGCGGGTGGGTAAATGTTCGATAGGGAATGATTATCATTACAGTAGTATTTATATAGGCACCTTCTACATACCCTTATGAACATACAGAGTACCTTTACAAAGTCTGATAATGATTTCAAGATGAAGATGATAATTCGTTCAAAAATTGCAATAATAAAAATACGCTATTGAAATGGTGATTGGATTGAAGTGGAAGATTCTCGTCTCATAAGAATGAAAGAAAACTTCACAAATCAGCTGGAGAAAGGGAGACGTTCCGGCTGCAAAGTTCCAGATCCTGCATGCATGCCTTTTGGGTCTCCATCGATTTGATGGAGGGCACCAATCAAGTTAAATTCTCCTGGCCTTAACACCATGGAAATGTTGGTAGGCCGACACATCCGTGACGGTAATACATAGAGACTCATCTCCGAGATCTAGATCGCAAAAACTTGCCTCAGTATTTTTCGGTTCAATGTGCCTCGGTGCTTAGTAATAGAAACTTCATCGTTTGATGGACTCGAGCTATGATCACTCAGAAAAACAATAACTGCATATACTAACAACTGCACTGTTAAAGTATTGAAGCTACTATAATTCAACCGCAGGACGGAGTACCCAGCCTACTCTTACTGCTATTGCAGAATTGTATCTGCATGAGCACAGGCTCTGACTGGTTATTGGTTCCAGTTCACTAGATTTTTATTTGCAGACACTTCATTAGATGTGACTCAAAGCGCCTTGGTCTGGATCAGAAATGCTTCCTGTTTCTGTGTCATAGGAAACTGGCTCGTTCTATTTCACTAATAACTATAGTCTAGCGAATGTAAAAATTCCACAAACGATAAGATTTTGTGGAAGTTTCTACATTTGCTATTGATTTCCATCAAGTAACGGCCGAGTCAATTCAAAATTTGAAGTCTAGCGATATGAAATGAGCTACCAAACTTTAGCTAATCTCTACACTTCAGTTCTGTCGAATATATAGAAGGCCTAAATTGATATGTTCATCATAATAATGACTACCTGATGCTTTCACAGTGAAGTGACCCTGTAGTCATTCCCAAGGGTAATTTGAAGACTAGCGTTCGAATTCAATTTGGCTTCAAACACCGAGTTAAGGCTAATAGAGTTGATCTGCTCTTGGTGCCGGATTAAGGCGTAACTGAAAATAAAACAGTAGCTTCGATGCCCTAGCAAATACAGGGCCAAAGACAAGGTCAAATACACAGTGGGTGTTACTCGAAGTATCGGCCGATAGGCTCTAGTTGATACTTGCTCTGATGACGATCTCAATCATCCTGGCCTAAAGCGAAGAGACAAGGAGACAAGCATAACTCAACATTACGTAGCCTTGCGAACGCGGAGTTCACAATCCTCTCTACAACTCAACATGAAACAATGTTTTATGATATAGGAAGTCCTTTCCAGTTGATATTGATTCAGTGTGAATTGTCTCAATTGTACTAACCGGTAAAATCCGATATGCTCTTGTAACTACTGTCGTCAGATAAGTCTGCACGCGATTTTCATTTCCATCAATATTGATTGACTGGACCATCCTCATTGCCATTCTTTTATGAGGGTTCAAGTAACTACAATGGTAAATAAATTTCGTACTGGAAAAAATATTCCTCATAAGATATCTCATTTTTTCCGAAAGACACCTACGTCTTGCTGATCAGACAAAAGGCTTCACAAGACCAAGGCTGATCATTCTTGGTCTTGGTCTCGAAAAATAAATGTAGTCTTGGTCTTGTTATTGGTCTTGATGTTTCAACATACACCTATTTGTTGTAAGCTACAAAACTGCAAAACTGAATTTGATAAATGTATTTCGTATTTTGAGTGAACAAAAATTAGAAACCTACCATATGACAAATTAATAACTGAAATGAAATGCCATTACATTTTCCATCAGATTTTTCTTGATATTGAGTAGATTTGGGTTCATTATTTTTTTTTTCGAGACCGAGAACTAGACTATTGGGAGAGATTGTTGGTCTTGGTATTGGTCTCGAATATCAAGTCTTGGTCTTGGGAAGATTTATTAAGTCTTGGTCTTGGTTTTGTATCAAGCCCTAATCAAACATCTCTGATAGGTTGAAATTCTTGTTATTTTCTAGGATTTCCTAACCGCCGTCCGCAGTGGCAAGAAAGATCTTCGTAAAGTTCTACGGACGGTCGAAGATGGCCACCAGGTAGTTTCGACAGGTCCCAGACTTGTCAATGAGACTTGGAGAAGCAACAAAGTTACTGATACGGAGGACACAAGAGAACTCAGCTCTGTCAGGCCTGATGGCAAAATAGTAACAGAAACTGAACGCACTACGCAACACGAAGAAGTTAAAGACGACGAACTTCCAGAAGAAGCTCCCGAACAGGATTTCCAGAAAGAAAGTTCTCAGAGGTGAGTGCCATACTTCAAAAATATTCGTTGACCAAATATATGGATTTGCCAAATGAGACTACACCTCACATGTTTCCCATGTGTATCTCCCTTATTTTCAAAGATAGAGGATTACGGTTCTTATGTCAATGTGCTACTTCTTTATGAAATTGAAAAATGCACTAAAATTTTCATGGCTCTTTTGATTTTTGAGACACCGGATGGAATTGAGGAGTTTCACTGTCTAGACGACCCCGTATCTTAGATTTTTTTCAGTTTTTCAGTATGCCTCTATTTTAAAAACCGAACTTGAAATCTGAGATTCTTTAGAAATTTGTTTTTTATCCAAATAGTAGGTCATTCAAAGTGGTCAGAATTCTCAAGAGTAAAAAACAAAAACCTAATGTTGGTCGACTACAAATATTATGGGTTTCTGTTTTTTCATGCACTAGCTGGCAGTAAACTGCACTTTTGCGCCCGGTTTTGCGGGTGTTAAGTGTCACTTTACCACCCGCGGGCCGTGGAGTACTTCTCTGTCCTCAAATTCCTTATATCCACAAAACAATTATTAAAATAACTATATTCGCACTCTAAGCTGATTCTATGATTTCCAGCGGTATATTTTACACATATACTTCTTCATCCCATTTCATGAATCTTATCACTTATCACTCTACTAACGCACTTCTTTGAAGTTTCCACCCACAGGATGACAATTTAGCTCGATTTTTTTTATGTATTGCTAGAAAACAGCCATATCAGTTTCATTGACAACGTCAAAATTAGGTAGATATATACTGGGTATGCATTTTGTAACATTTCAAGTAATGAATCTCTTTTGGTGAATAAATACGATGATCTTGATATGTGAACTACCAATAACCATTATGCTTCTCTTGATTACGACAATCATACGTTATATATCTCGTTATATATCGACTATTAGTTATTGAGATCTAGTGATTACTCTTGACTCGATAATTGAATCACTAGTGCATTAAATGTTGTATGCAACACGTGCGTAAAATGGCCTTCAGCGCCGCAGGCTATAAACGCCTTCTTCACGCGCTTGATGCAAATATTAGTAATATGACTCATCTGGAGCAAAATGTCAGAAACTTTGCGTTAGTGTCAATTTTTGATTATCATTAGTGATATCACAATGTTATGAATATTCGAAATACAGAATAACGAAAAAATATTCAGAACAGAATGGTATTTTGCTAGACTATTTCACGTTCACGAAGCATAAAAGCGTAATCATTTCATGCCAAACTGACAGACTTTGCTTCGCTATCCATGGTTACATCCATAGTTTGCTTCGCAATCCATGGTTACATTGTTGAAAACATCAACGCTGATAGACCAATCAGAATTGAAAGACAGCTAATGTTTCCGTGATAAAAGCACACGTTGTCTCTGGCTTGTGATTGATCAGATCATGTGATGAGTGAAGCAGTCACTTATAATATCAAGAGAGCTACACTTATTTACATTCAGAGGATTCTTATTTTTTATGCTCTCCTTTCTGATGTTCTACAGATATAATTAAATGTTCGACGTGGCAAATAGCCAGGAAAGTAGTTGTTTTATGTTGAATATTCAGAATGATATTATGTGCATACATATTTTTATCTGAAGAAGAAGACAAATTCTCAACTTCAGAAGATTTTGTTTTCAAATTCTTATCGTGTGTGTTCAATAGATATATTTAATTCAATGTTCTTCGTGGCATATAGCCAGGAAGTAGTTGTTTTCTGTTAAATGAATGGAGGAAGAATTGATATTCTCCTCACAAAGAGGATGCAAATTCTCAATGTATTCCTTCATGTACATATCCATTTCTTCATGTTCATAATTTATCTGAGAATATTCCTTTCAAATATTTTTACCCAATTGAGGGAATCAAACTTAAACGATGGAAACTTCATATTTGCATAGACCTTCAATCGTAGATTCGTGATTAGGTTTTCTCAATTCAAAATTTCTTTCCACGTCCTGTATGATGAATATCAATTTGTCATACATCCAAGAACATACCTCTACAATGTTTCTGACGAATCTTTTTTTCTATTCGAAAGGACATCTGAATATGCACAATGATTGCTTATGCTGAAGTGACGTAATCCTCATTGGTATAAAAAAATCATTCACAAACTCCCCAGAAATTGAAAGTTAGGACTGGAATTCTGGGATAGTGTAGGTCCACATTGAATGATGGAATAACCCAAACGGACAAACAAATTTGAACTTCTTGAAACAAAACTGGTAACCTCAGAATCACTGAACTACCTTGAAGACGATGATAATCCACATGAAGGTCAGCTCATGTTTTAACAAATCAAATCAAATCGAGATCAAATCGAGTTTATCACCATATTGAAGTGTGAACGGTGTACTAAAAACATATAGCATTCACATTTTGTCCAGCTTGTCACAAAAAAGAAACCTATAGAAAACATGTCTGATTCATGGGAAATGTTTATAAAAACTAACACTCCTAATTATTATTATTTAGTGACAACACAAAAAAATATTTAGGTACTCATCACATGTGAGATTACACAGCCAACTATTACTGATTTATGTTAGATCAACGTTTAGAGAAAATTCTTCAAAACTGTAGAATGCCTTGCCCATTGAGAACTTTTTCAATCTATTTTTCAACTGATCCATTGTATTACTAAGTTTTATTGATTCATATAATTTGTTGTTTAATCTGATGCCCATACAATTTGGATCATCCACCTCTATCTCTTGTACCATAATCATGTAGACAATCATTCGTTTTGAAAGAGGTCGAGTTCTTTCTGATAACACACTATAGAATATGGTATAAACTTGGCATTGTCAGAATGCCCAAAATGATGAAGTGTTTTTCACATTTTGGCAACCCCAGCATCAATCTGATGACTTTTTTCGTAATGGAATTTTGTTAGAAACTGTATCATAATTGTCTTAAGACAAACAATTGCTTGTGCAACTCGAATTATAGATCCTAGATTTTCAACAAGATGAAGCTCCCTCAGATTTCGTTGCACCTGTACGTCAATTTTTAGATGACAGTTTCATAAAGAGGTGGTTTGGAAGGGTAGGACTAATAGAATGTCTTGCTAGAGCCCCTGATTCATCACCATTAGACCAATTTATGGGGTTATTGCAAATCCAAAGTTCATATCTAACAGCCCAATCAGATCATTAATTCCCACCTTCAACTTTCGAACGTAACAAGATAACAGGGTCGGGAAAAATTCAGGTGAAGAGGTGCGTGGTCTAGGGTCAAGCATGCACCATCAAATTCAAAGAGGTATCACGTGATACCAGGTTTTGAAGGCTTTTCGATTGTATATCTATAACACCGCTTCGTTTGTGCAAATCGGCCAAGCCGTTTCAAACTGACAAGCGTTTGAAATTTACTTCAAATATTTCAGGAATAAATTGAAATTTCAATTGAAGAGGGAAGACTTTCAGCGTTCTCACTGTATAGCATCATCAATGGACATTTGAATTACTAAAAATTACTTGGAAGGAGCCATCAACTCGGTTCGAATTTTCTTTTACAAAATTAACGCTCTGAAGGGACCTTTCAATAATCTGAATGAATTTTTTCAACCTCTTCGGCATAGTTTGTCAATAGCTCATCAAACACCAGTGGCGGGTCCCCAGACAGCACCAGATATTCCATGAATCTCCCTATCATATTCCTTTCGGAATATTGGAATATTCTAGAAATAATCTGGAATATTCCGGAATATCTGTGGAATATTCTCTAAATATGCGAATGGGAATTCCTCAGATAATCATAGAATATACCCAAAAGAATATTCTATGTTGAATGTTCCTGGAATATTCCAATAAACATATTCTAAAATAAAAAAATTGACCCAAGTAGGGATCGAACTCGTGACCTCAAGACTATCAGAGCGACGCCTTGACCACTAGGCCAGTAATCGAATTGAATAATTTTATACATATCAAGTTCTTGCGTGAGAGCATTGTTCGAAATCGGATCATAAACACTTTTTGTTTCAAAATCTCCTCACATCTAATTGATGTTCGATCGAGGGGTAAGTACTTAGCCATTTTTTGTACACCAGGGGGGTAATGAATGCCTCAATTCACCGAAATTACCCTGCAATGCCCATTTTTCAGTCAACAATACCCCGCATTGCCAACATTGCCCTCCAATGCCCAACATTGCCCCTGCAATGCCCAACAATGCCCACAATGCCCAACAATGCCCACAATGCCCTTAGTGCACTATATAACTATCTCTTTTCATTCCATGTGTTGAAGAGAGACAGACTGATGTATTAAAATGTGAAAACTGACTTATGTCTTTTACATAGTTCCAATTCATTTTAATCTCTTAGTGAATTAATCATCTGATGGGACGAGGAATAATGAATAATTATACATATTTTATCAAAAAATCTCACAAAACAAGCAGTCGAACATGAAACAAACATAGAAACACACGCCTTTTCACAAAAACAACTTTTAGGACTATAAGACGAACATGTTTTTTCTCCTATACTTGATAACTAAGTATTTATTCCTAAAGGTACTTCTTTAGACAGTATCACAATAATTCAGAGATCATAGTTTGGTAACAGGAACACTGGGCATATAAGTCCAGATATTATAGGAAACAGTTCTAAAATCTCGACTGAAATTAAACATTTTTTTAAATTTGGAGTCATTAAAAAACGCAAACTCTGAATTCTTTCTTGAAACTACAACAAAGTTAAGATTTTCTTGAACCAAAAACAACTTGAACCTGAATATATATTCTGTTAGAGCATATCACACTGAATATCACATTAGTCAACTAGATTATGTTTTTAAAATTCGAAATTTTTTTTCGACTCCAAATGAAGATTGAAAATGTTCACTTTATCCCATGGTCGTATTCTTTTTTATACGTCCATGCTTTATCCGCTCTTTTCAGGAAAAACGGAGAATTTTCCCCAAGTACAAGTGGTCCGTAAAAAACACCCTCTTTTGGTATTGAATTTTCAATTTCTGATTTTTCTGGCCACTTGTTGAAATGTTTTCTAAAAACCTTATTCAAAATCTGTCTTGGTTCTTTTTCATTATCAGCCCCAGATACCAGTTTTTATCAAATACCACTGCATAGAAATTATCTATTTATTTATTTATTTCAGGATCGAAAACGTCTGGAACGATATCTGGTTCATTTTCTTCTTCTGAAGAATCTCCGATACATTCTTTTTCTTAGTTTTTGAATTGTCAGCAGGTATTTTCGACTTTCTTTTTTGGACAGATCTAGGATATAGAATTGTAACGCTGTATGCGATCGTTACTGATCCGTCCCTACCCCTCCTTCAGAAGCCAGCATAATGATGATTTTTTTAATTAAAATCATATTATAATTTTCCAAAGTGACTTTCACATATACACTTTTCTCATATTTATCGTAGTTTTTACTCGAATAGTCGGTTAAATCCAATTCCAATCCAATCCAAAGCTAGCTGTAGCCGGAGTTGATGACAGCATGACGCGATGCGAAACGCTTGAATGGCGCAATCAAAATGTAGGCGGAGGCATCACCTTGAACCATAGAACTGAATATAGTGACCTCGAACAGAAACGGATGCGCGCGCAACAAATTAAGCCCAAACATTGCTCCACATTGCCCTTTCAGTGCTATTTCAATACCCCGCATTGCCTAACAATGCCTCACAATACCTTGCAATGCCCATCAATACCCAGCAGTGCCCGACAATGCCTCGCATTGCCCCGCAATGCCCCACACTGCCTCGCATTGCCCCGCAATACCCCTAAGTTGTACACCGGATTGCCCCATGTACTTACCCCTCGTGTTCGATACTCACATCTCTGAAATAATAAATGGTGTATTTATGTGTTGAGAAACATAGGAATATTCATGGAATATTTCATGAATATACACCACAGAATATTCAGTTGAGAATATTTCATGAATATACCGCACAGAATATTCAGTTGGGCATATTTCATGAATATACCCCACAGAATATTCAGTTGGGTATATTTCATGAATATACAACAGAGAATATTCAGTTGGGAATATTCCTGGAAGATTCATACCTGAATATTCCCTGAACATGTCCGACTATTCACTTTGGAATATTCCTTTTAGATGTTCCAGAGGCATGTATATATTCTAGGAATAATCGATGAATATTCCGAATATACTCCTCCTTTTTAGCATATTTAGAGAATATTCTATGAATATCCAGTGCTGTCTGGGGTCGTATTATTTGATATTCCAATTTCATATTGGCCGCACTCAGAGCCGTGGACCATTGATTTAATTACAATCAGCTTATTATCTTTCTGATGAAATATGACTTTAGGCATTAGCACACTGAACAAGTAACAAAATATCTCAATTATGATTCAATCAGATTGATTAGTCTGGAGATGGACTTGTCTGCAAAAGGTCCCTGAGTTTTAAAGATCAATATAAAATTATGTGGAGATGACTCTCAGCTTCCCTTCTTCTATTTAGTAAGATACACTTTTCTCAAAGGTTTCTCAAGACGAGAGAACAAGAAGACGTGGATTACATCGCTAATGGTACAAACGTTGGTCACGAGATGAGATTCAAGACAGAAACTATGGAGGTGGAACGTCGAGGAGACGGGGTCGATGAGCCTGATCTGTTCGAGTCCCTTTCTGCAAGAGCTAGAAGGAGGGCAAGTAATAGACAACCAAGACAAAGGGGTGAGTAATACTTCAAGTCCCAGGTTAAGTCATGTCTCTACAGAGCAGATATACCATCAACCATAGAATCATGTATTTTAGAAGATACTTTTCTACTAATTCAATTTTCATTTCCACATAACAATAATGCACTCACAACTGTGGGAAGTGAGATGATATTATCATCATCTGTAAGTTATTCGGTATTTTTGACGTTCTTGGTTTTCATAAAAAAAACCTCTCTTGCACACTCTTTTACGGTTATTCAGCAGCATATTAAATCCTTAGGGATTTGAAGTAACTTCAGAGTAAATTTTTTCGCAAAGTTAAGCTAAATTTTGAACGTATCTTGAAAATGTCTGTTACAGTTGTGGCTTTCATCATCGAATAAACGATCCACAATGACGATGCTTTGAACTTTTTGACTCCCAAGAAATATGTTAGTAGTACCATTCCTTGTGTACATTTTTCTACGTTCCGTTCTTCGCACCATTTGATAAACTCAGATAACTGTTTTTCATATTGTTCTTCAGATTTTCTTGTTAATAATCGGCCGTCAGCTTCTTGAGCTGCCTTTTCGATTTGTTCCATCGCGTTCAACGTCTTTCAATCGGTGTGGCGTGTTTGACTTATATTCATTAATTTATTTATGTTTTACTTAGTTACTTGTCATAACACACGAAGATTTTCAGTTGCCGTTGCCGATGACAATCATGATCTGGATCACCATAGTTACTGAGATCGATGATATTGTAACAATCAGCCCATTCGATGATGTTTTAGAAATAGAGTAACTATACCGTTTAGTAGCATTTGAATTTTTTCCGTTATTTTTTCTTTGACGTTCCATTCATTTTAAAGTGCATGAAATAGTATGTACACCTCGGGACTAAAGTGTTTTTGAATCCCTCGACAAATTATAGCCCTCCCGTTGGTCGGGCTATAAACTTTTTGTCTATGGGTTTAAAACACCACTTCATTCCCTAGGTGTTTAATGTACTATTTTATTGGTATCGCCATCTTATTTGAGGTTCTTGTTGATTGCCTCTCATCATATACCAGAAAAACACTTGGTATGAAAGAATTCATTCAAGTATTCATACTAGATGTTCAAACTTACAATCTCAAAATGGAATATCAGCAAATTCAGCAATAATTCTCTTCTACATCCTTATTCCTCAGTTTTCACACGGTGTTCTCCGAATTTATATCAGTTATATACTTCGCACAGTATCAAAGTATTTGTTGTCATTTCAGGACACTTTTTGATATTTGATGAAAGTGATCTGAGTGGAATGTGAAGCTTCAAATTAACATTTTGGTTTTTCCGTGCTTGTGTATCACACCTACGTTTCAGACGAAATTCTAATTAAGGCTAGACAATGCGTCATTATCTTAACAATTGAGTGTTGAAATAGTGAATTCCGTCAATATATTTTTAATGTCACCGAAAAGTTTGATGTGACTAATAAATTCGATGGCATAACAAGATAGGTATACTCATCAGCTTTATGTAATGAATTCTTATGTAGGTACCTACTTTCACGAAGACTTACATGATAGAGAAGATATCACTAATCAATGATTGATGATTATAAGAGTAATTGTCTGTATCTATTGCATGATAAATTAAGTGTTACATTATGTTTTTCAATTTGTTTTCTACACATTGAAGTTATTCAGGAGAGAAATCATCAAGGCGTTTATCACAATTTCTTCAACAAGCTCTTGCTCTATATATTCGGAATATATAAAGTTGAAGCATGAACTATTCTGGATTGAATCAAGAAGTTCTTCATATTGATCTTGTGAAACCTCATCTCTTCCTACAACACCCAAAACATCACCCCCAACTATTTATCTCCGTTACATACACGCTCTGATTTATCTCATGAAAATCGATTATAATTTTCATTCCGAACACATACAGTGTGACCCACTTAAGACCGGAGCACCCTCATAAAATCTATAGTTTTTGACCGATTCCTTTTTTTTTTCGTTTCAGCAGAAGGACTATCCGGAGATCTACGTTTACACAAATTTGCAAAATAAAATTTCAATCTACAGGGCATACTATATTATTTTTTTCATGTTAAAAATTGCGAAATATCTTTAGCGATTAAAAAAAAGAAGACCCCACCACTGAAAACAGCATCTTTCAATTAGGTTGAATGCAAACTTGCATTGAAAAATTTCAATTGGCAACAAAGTTATAACAACAATAAATTTGATGGCTCACCATTTTTTATGAATATTTCAGACAAATTCTGAGAAGCGGCAACATTGTTAACACAAATATTGGAAATCATCGAGGTTTCTGGTATACATTTGAATTGATAACACAAATTATTATCGAGTTATTATCTCTAGAATGGTACCTTTTTGGAATGAAGTAATGAAGTCGGAAAAACAGCTTTTCATAATAAGTTAATCATCAATGTAAACCAACAATTTCTGAAAGCTCTTGATGTTTTTGGCTTCTGATATTATCTTACTATACAGACTATCCGATTTTCTAACTCTAATTACTTGGATGAACAAGGCCGATTTTTCGACGTTATGGATTTTTCATTTTATGAATCTTTCTTAGATGTTATAACTCGATAATAATTGGTGTTATCAATTCAAATGTATACCAGAAACCTATTGATGATTTCCAACATTTGTGTTGACAATGTTGCCGCTTCTCAGAATTTGTCTGAAATATTCATAAAAAATGGTGAGCAATCAAAATTAATATTGTTATAACTTTTTCGCTGATTGATATTTTTCAATAAAATTTTGCGCTCTACCTAATTGAAGGATGCTGAATTCAGTGGTGGAGTCGATTTTTTTTGTAAAAAATCGCTAATGATATTCGCAATTTTTAACATGAAAAAAATAACATAGTATGCCCTGTAGATTGGAATTTTATTTTGCAAATTTGTGTAAACGTAGATCTCAGGATAGTCCTTCTGCTGAAAAAAAAAAGAAATTGGTTAAAAACTATAGATTTTATAAGGGTGCTCCGGTCTTAAGTGGGTCACACTGTATAACCCGAAATTGTTGATTGAGGAAAACGAATACTTTCACAAATATTAACTGCTTCCTTATATCTAGTTATCTTTTTCCATTGCAAACTATCACTTTTGTGATGTGACTGAATGCGAAAAAATCATATGCATTTCAAAACTGAAACATTATAAAAGGGGTTTTCGATTTTCTGATCGAAAATTCGTATCACTTTCAGTACCACAGGTCCGCGAATAATGGTGACACATTCAAAGTAAGAGTTTCTAGAATGTAGAAACTAAATAGATGGGTACCGCATGACTCTAGCTCATACTGTAGGCATGGTAATCCAATGATTTCAGTTCACTTATTTTCGAATGGTAAACTCTACAGTACCTTCCCATGTTATGATTATTTATTTCCCTTTTACATCAATGAAATGAAATGGTATAGTAGGTAATACATTTTTGAATGTTATCTTTTCTACGGAAAAAACATAATTGAAATAAGAAGTATGATACACAGTTTACTTCGAAATGAAGTGTATATTGAGTTTCGATGAAATAAATAAGTGAGAATAATTTGATAATGAAACAAAAGTTCGGAGGAATATGGTTTGGAAGGTATAATAGAATATATTTGTTGATATTATCATAGTTCATCTCTTCATCTCTCGAAATAACCTAGATATCGCTTTTTTAGGTCATTTTGGAACAACCTGTAAACTGATACCGGTGGTTGAATCAATATATTTCTCTCTCAGTAGTATTTGCACAAGATTGGAACTATAATCCTGTGGCGGAACTTCGAGCACTAAGAAGGGGCGATTGATCTCACTATTGAAGGTGGATAGGTTGTAGGCTTCTGGAAATACATTCGAAGGTGAAGAATTCCGAAGGGATGATATCCTACAGATAAATTTTTTTTTGAAATATGATTTTCTAGGTGTTCCAATTTTGATCACATATGGATATTAAACTTGAGCCAGCTAGCCAGCTGTGTTCGGCGAATAAGGGTCATTCTAGGGATGACCGCTATTGATAATTCGACGGAGCATCGTCCATAAGTTAGATAAAAGAGTGATAGGTCTGCAACGTTTATCCGTTGTTGTGAGGTTTGCAGTAATGATGTCAGAGTTGTATCACTGATGAGTCTGATGGCTCTTTTCTGAACCGACTCCAGCAACCTTAGATTAGGTAGGGTTTTGGACCTGATCTCCAAACATGCGAGAAATACTCAGAAGATGGTCAAATCTCAGCTTTGTGGAAACTTTTCAGCGTGAAAGGGAAAATCTCAGTTCCTGAGAGACAGTTTTGGCTATGTTGAAATAGGTCTATGCCTAAACGAACTGTGAGATACTTTATCGACAAGCATTTTTATAGATGGACTGATAATTATGTTTAGTTTCTCCGGCCATGCCAGTACCTGAACCAACACGATTAGCCTTCTTTGAAAAAACTGCTGCTTATGTATTCGAATTGTTGAATTGTACGAGATTAATATATAGTTCCATTTCCTCATAATCGTTGTTCACTGTATGAATCTGTTGCTGTCATAGGCTTTGGTTTGTATACTCGGAGATAGAATGGAGTCCTGTGATACTCCTGCGTAGGTGAGCAGTGTATTTGTTTCAATGTCGTTAAAAACAACATAAGGATATCGATCCTCGCGAAGAAACTCTATCGATGCTGGTTGATCTGTGTCGGTGATACCCATATTGCCGATCAGAAATTATATTTTTCTTCACATATCATATATTATCCATATAGATGGCATTCATCATTGCGGGATGACGGATAGTAAAACGATGGGATGATATCAGATAGCAGGTATAGTTCTCTTTCATTTCTTAGTAATATGTTGAACTCGTTCTACCTTCCACATAGTTGGCTCCATTCCATTTGCTCGATAACAAGGTAGCAAATACATCAGCTGTTTCTTGTACATCAACAGCAAGCTATCATCATTCTTCGCCTGTGGAAAAAATAGGAGCCCTTTACTGCCTTCACTTATTCGCCTCGTCAGTGATGTTATATTGCATATGTTCCGTGATGATGAATGTTTAGTGGCAATAGCTCCAGCACAGCATACATATACCATTGGACCATGGTTTGATTGATGATTGACACTTGATGGAGTGAGAAATGGACGTGTCCATCCCGAAAATAAATACTCCTGATCTTCACGAATGGAAAAAGATCATTGCTGTTGAAGCAGACATCAGACTATCAAGAAAAAGAAGAAAAGGAGTTCCACAGATTCATAGCTGGCACTACAACCAGCTGAGATGATTTTTTGATCATCATCATCATCAATGGAGGATGTTATGTTTATAGTATATAGATCAGAATTAGTAGTGAGAGAAAGGTCTGCAGGTCTCCAAAGTGACCACGAAGAGGTGCGAAGCCTCAACTCGACGGGTTGATTCGCGGGGACTGCCAAGGGAGGAACAATTGTTGATATTTCAAAAGAGCATCGTCCATGAGAATATCTATAAAAAAGAGCCAGATCGCCAACTTCTCCACGGTGTTCCAGAGAAGTGAGTGAGTTTGTGGGCGAGGCATCACTCACGAGACGAATTGCCCTTTTTTTCGACAGAATCCAACAGTTTAGTCTTCCAGCACTATCGTCAGTTCGGTAATAATGTTTTTACTCGTTCATATTATGCATTCTGAAGTTGCCTTTGACTATAATATTTGCTGTCAAGGGTTTTCGTTGCAGAACATCAACATTTTCCGGAAGAGCTATGAAATATTCCAGCAAACATCAAATCTGTGGCCGCCTTCTAGCCCAGTACATGATAGATCGGCAGATTGCTGGCCATGGCCAAGATGCACTGGTCAAACGTCGGCCCATTGTATGGCATATTGTGATCGTTTGCCTTAAATTCAGCCGGCACTGGGCCGATAGTGTCAATTCGCATTATGTTTTTACCTACGTCATACAATATAACCTCATTATATGGCATATTTGAATCGTTTAACTATAATCTAGCCGGCACCGTGCCAAATATGAGTATGATTATATTGATTTCAGTCTCAATTGGAAAGTTGAGATAAGGACACATGGAAGACCGATAATGAACAGTTTCGACACAAGAAAACACTAAAGTTAAAAAAATCTCGATTTTGAACACCCTTTATCTCTGTAATCATTTCCGCTAGACACCAAGTGTGATACATTTATGAAAGCAGCTCTTCAGCAAGAATCTAAAAATGCAATGAAATACAGTGTGTTCCATTTGAAAATCGAAAGTTGATGCCCGTTAGGCTTCAAGGTTTCAACTTTTGAATATAATAATTGCTGAAAAATGTGTCCCCCGCCAAATTGAAATCAACCTGTCCGAGGAATTTTCAATTTGGGGGGTGACAAGTTCTAACTGGGACATACAAATATAAGCATTTGAAAGAATATCACAAGTGTAATTTCATAGATCTTGTCGATGATATTGTGATGATGGTATCTCATTGCATAGCAATGCTATAAAGTTCGCTCTCGACATTCATGCTTGGCAATTGTGAGAAACATAGATAAATTCACATTAGTGAGTATATCTTTTATTTCCAGGGTTGGAGAATGATGTAGGAGTTTCACTTCTCGATAGAAAAGATGCTCTCACCCGCAAACCACTCAATTTCGATCAAGAAGAGGAAACCCGGAAAGTTGAAACGTCGAAATGGTTAGAAAACCATTTTGGCAGTGATTCCCGTTCGTCAAACAACTCCACCATTGACGAGGAGGATCATCCACCCAAAACCAGCTTTTTTAATGTGACAATCAAGTCGCAACCGAGAGTGGAGCCTGTTCGTGATACTTTTGAATCTAATATCAAGGAAACTTCGAGAGTATATAGTCCAGTGGAGCCCGAAAGGGACAGAAATCCTATCGGGGGTTATTATAAAGGTATTATACAATATTCAGACAGTTATTTACCCTGATGATATTTTTCCAATTTCCAAAGTTTTAAAAACTGTCAACTAATGGAACAATGAACGCGCTAGATGAAGTATGAGAATCGAATTGTTTAGATCCATAGGAAATTGAACAGCAATGAGGTAATTCTGAGTGTCCAACGCTTATGAAACTTCCAATTCACTATTGCAGTGCTTATTTTATAATTTTCCAGAACGTTGAGATGGATTCACACACAGAGGAAAATATCACTTGGGTTACTCTAAGTTCAATAGTATAGCAAGTATTATACACAATTTATATGATCATAAAAGTTTGTCGCGCGATTCACTTGTGTGAATGAACTAGTACTTATTTAATTATGTATAAAATCTGCCAAGATAAAATTTTTAAAATTTCAATTCAATTAAATATTGATCATTGCGACAAGCTTTTATGATCATATAAATTGTGTATAATGAGGTTATAAGTTGATAGTTGAAATTATTTAGAAAAATTTTACTTTCTTCTTTTAAGAGCTCCAAATAAAAGCTTTTTATTGAAAAGTTTTTTTACTTTTAATTTATTTTTCAATTTTTAGTTATCGCTAGCTGGATTTTTCGATTTACTCTCAACGAGCCTCTTCATTTTTATACCCGTATTGTAGAAGTATATTGAAAATGACCATTCCGCCATCTTGGATGGTCCGCCATAATGGATTCAGAATGACGTCACATCATTTTTCGAGTTACTCTCAATGGGCCCTTCCATTTGATACCCATATTGTAGAAGTAGATTGAAAATGACCATTCCGCCATCTTGGATGGTCCGCCATATTCGATTTAGAATGACGTCACATCATTTTTCGAGTTACTCTCAACGAGCCCTTTCATTTGATACCCATATTGTAGAAGTCCCCAGTAGCACAGAATATCGGCTGCAAATCGGCTCTGCATTGGCCCAATATTTGAATATCGTAAATCGGTCGGATGATATTGTAACGATATTGAATAAATGAGCTAGACGGATCAATATGAATACAATGTTGATAGGCTTACATTTTTCAGGATCTTGAGAATCCTACATTGTATCGATATTCATAATGACATATGTGATGAAATCTATATTCCTCCTATATCCTGATGATTTATGTCTCGATATTGATAAATCTTCATGATAGATATATTGATTGCCTGATATCAGTTCATATTACAACTGGATATGTAACCTATATCGATAGAATGTATCTTGGAGGATATTGCAATAAAACATCAGGTTCAATATCGTCACGTGGACTTCTTGATTTCATATATGTATTCCATATCGAATACAAAACTGCTATTCAATGATGACATCCCAATATTCCACCAATATTGTTTGTGTGGATATTGGTAAATTATATGTATACAATAAAGAGTTGTATTCTTATGACACCATCATCTGTTTGATAATGAAACAATATTGGGAAAAATTTATTCCATATATGTGTACCATATCACAAACTCTATATGGATTCAATGATCAAATCCCGATATCCCAGCGATATTGTTCTAGTGGATTTCATCAGGATGAGGTTGCAGCAATATTGAGAAATGCAGATGATTTAGATATTGCGAAATATCATTATGTTCAATATTGTGAAACCGACTTCCTGATTCCATATATTTGTACCATAACCAGATCCCAATATTTATTCGATGCTGTGATCACAATGTGCAAGCAATAATATCATCCATAAATAGGAATGAAGATAATTCGATATTGGAAATAACTATTGGGATCAATATCGTGAGGTTTACTTTTTGTTTCCATTCATGTTAACCATATCAAAAACCCAAGGTCAATTCAATGATGAAATCTCAATATTAGAGCAATATTACCTATGCATATTTCAGTAAACTTTATGTATACAATATTGTGTTCTAATCTCTTGCAACTATCATCGAGATGCTGAAAGAGCAATATTGTTAAATGAATATGATCATCATATTGCAAATAATCATTGTGTTCAATATTGTGAATCCAACTTCCTGATTCTATATATTTGTACCATAATCAGATCCCAATACTATTTCAATGTTGTCATCACAATGTGCAAGCAATATTATCCATCTTGAGTTCAGTCAGTTATATTGATATAATATTGAGGTGCATGTAATCACTTGATACTATCAACAGGATGATAAAGGGATAATATTGAGAAATGAAGATAATTCTATATTGCAAATAATCATTAGGTTCAATATCGTGAGTTCAACTTCTTGATTCCATTAATGTGTACCACATCAAAAACTCAGTGTAAATTCAATGATACAATCTCAATATCAGAGCAATATTTCTAATGCTTATTCCAGTCAACTTTATGTATACAATATTGTGCTGTGATCTCTTTTGAAACTATCATCAAGATGATAATGGAGCAATCTTTATAAATGAATATGAATTTCATATTGCAAATAATCATAGTGTTCAATATTGTGGGACCAACTTCCTGATTCCATATATTTGTACCATAATCAGATCCCAATATCAATTCGATGTTGTCATCACAATGTGCAAGCGATATTATCCATCTTGAGTTCAGGCGTAATCTCTAGATACTATCAACATGATGATAATGGAGCAATATTGAGAAATGAAGATTAGTTCAATATTGCTAGCAAACATCAGGTTCAATATAGTGAAGTCACCTTCTAGATTTCATATATGTGTACCATATCAAACACTTAATATCAATTCAATGATGAATTCTCAATATTAGAGCTTTCTCGCGCACGTTCGAGTGTTACCGTGAACGACAAGACTAGTCACCACTGTTGCCATCTTGGTTTCGTCACTAAATCTAGTATTTTCAGTAGTAATACTATAATACTATAAGTACTTCAAAAGATTAGGGCTAAACATCGATAACTTTTGTTGCATATAATTACGAAGAGTATCAGTTTAACAGTTGAAATAATCCGATCACGATGCGAAAGGATTATTATGTTGAACAAACACGATTATTTTTAATTGTGCAGAAAGTTTAAGATGCATAATCTTGAAGATTTCAAAGTTCGAATTGTATTCGATGCGATTATTTTTTGCGTAGTTCTGAACGAACGTCTAAATTTGACCATACGCTTTGTTTGTATGTAACAATATGCATTGATTAGTAAATGGAAATGGAAATAATTCTAAAAAAATGGCTGCTCCAAGATGGCGGACAAGATTTGGTCCCATTCCATTCAAAATTGGTAAATGGGGGTTTTTGAGGTCGACGATCATGATATTTTTGTTAAAATTTGTAAATTCAAGATGGCGGCTTCCAAATAAGTTTATGTTTTTGTATAAATGACAATAACTCCGTTGTTATCAACACAAAACTATAACTGCGACATGTCATCTGTAAGAGGAAAAAAAGTTATTTGTAACTAAGTCATAGTGAGCTATGAGCTTCATTTGAACAACTAAAGTTGGTGCTGATATCTCAAATTCTAGAAGAGTTAATTATCATATTTTTTTCGAATTCACTTCGAGAATCTCCCATGAGAATGTGAAATTCCTATCTGAATATTTTCATGAATAAAGAAGTTACGGAGGAGACATGAAAATGATCAAAATTTGTTTTTTGCGTATAAAACAAAAACGAATAGATTTTATCAAAATATTTTTTCACATTATAGTTGGCCTTGACAAACTCCACATTTGGTGTAATTTAACCGACCTCGTATCTCTCACCGTTAAAAAGATACCCATCGTGAGCATGGTAGGTGGGACACACTGTATAAACAAATGCGCAAAGTGGAATAATACATAATTGGTGATGAAATGTTCATTTCAACACAAGTTATGAAATGAAACGAAATTATGAATGGATGAATAAGAGAATAGTGCATTTTGTGTTGCTTCCTCCATATCACTTGGGGATTCTGAACTTGTGCACAAATATTACATCAAACAAATGATTTTATTTATTGTGGAATTTCAATTCAAGATACACCTAGGTAGGCATTCCAGTTTTTTCACATTATTCTGATATTCTTGTCTGAACAAGAAATGTATGTTTCTAGTATAACGTGTCTACTAGTACACCCGACAACACTGTCGGGCAAATACCTCAGGTCATAAAGTGACTATCTTTGCTCGACACTCACTAGCTCAGTTCTTTCAGTTGTCTCATAGAGTCTTCAAGCGTGTGGCGTGGATCGCGAGTGGTATATTAAAACAGTGGTGCAAAAAATAATAAGGTAAAATTACTTATCCCAATTATTGATACTAGTTCAACTTTGATACAATTTCGATTATGTTTTTCCTTGCCATACCATGTGCTGATGCTGCAAAATCCAAAAATTTTTTCGACCCCTCGATGCCCTCGTGCAGTTTGGTAGTTCAGTCAGAAAAATGTTTTTACCTACTTACTATGTAACAACTATAAGTTAACCTATTGATATCATTCGAGTACTAAAGTCCATGTACCTAAGTAAAATCGTGGATACTTTTTTGTTACGTACACATCAGTGTTCGCCATAAGTTATCCAGCAGCACACACAATGTGTACCTACTCATTTCAGCACGATATCGAAACAATATTGTTGAGAAGTTATTGGTACAATATTGGGAAATAATGATGGAATAATATAGGATCCCTAGATTTGGCAAAATATTGTACCTACATACCTAAGTATTGAAGATGCTTTATTGATAACGATAATGCGATTTTCGAAACATAATGAGTATTGTTAGATGATGAAACTTCAATAGGTACATTGATCTCGGGGTAGGTACATACAATGTGTTCCAATATCGATGATTTTCTCAGTTGTCTCATTCCAGCACGATATCGAAACAATATTGTTGAGAAGTTATTGGTACAATATTGGGGAATAATGATGGTATAATATAGGATTCCTAGATTTGGCAAAATATTGTACCTACATACCTACCTAAGTACAGATGCTTTATTAATAACGGTAATGCGATTTTTGAAACATATGAGTATTGTTCGATGATGAAACTTCAATATAGGTACC